CTCCTCCATTTGTAGTTTATGAATCTGTCTTGAGTTTTAACCTTTCGCATCCAGAGTTTTGAAAAAAAATAACACTTTAAATTTGTCCGTTCATACCCCCTTCCCCCGAATTAATGATGTCGTCCTACAATTTTGTTAATTTATTTGTCATTTAAATGATTAAAAGTAACAGTCCTGAACTTCTGGTTTATGAATCCCTGTTGCATTTTTATCCTGGACATCGAGATTTTTGTGAAAAAATTTAAAATGTAGAGATAACAATTTTTCGATTTCACTATTATTTTAGACTTTTCGATTTCCTAATCTTTTGGTGTTTCGATTACTCGATATTTCAGTTTTTTAACTTCTCGACGTTTCGGTTTCTCGGTTTTTCGTTTTTTCAGTTTTTCGATTTTCCAAATTGTCGTCATTTCTGTATTGGATTTTTTCAATTTCCTGGTGTTTGTTTTTTTTAATTTCGGCTTTTCTCGATGTAGTTTTGGGATTTTTCAATTTTTCTTCAATTTTCGGATTTTTCTACTTTTTGATTTTCCAATTCTGGATTTTTTTATTTTTCCAATTTCTCGATTCTTCAATTTTTCGATATTTTCGTTTTTCAGTTGTTAATGTTACAAATTTTTCGATTGCTCGATTTTTCGAGTTTTCAGTTTTTCGATATTTCTGTTTTTCAATTTTTTTAATTTTTAAATTTTAGATGGTTATTTCAATTCCTCGATTTTTCGATTTTTCGTTTTCTTGGTGTTGGATTTGTCGGTTTTTAATTTTTATGATTTTTTAAACTATTGATTTTGCTATTTTTTGGTTTTTCCACTTTTCGATTTTCAGATTTTTCTGGTTTTCGATTTCCGAAATTTTCGTCATTTCTGTTTTGGATTTTTTCAATTCCCTGATTTTTCAGTTTTTCGGTTCCTCAATTTTTCGTTTTTTTAATTTTCGATTTTCTGACTTCGATTTCTTGATTTTTCAGTTTTTTGATTTTCAATATTTCAGTATTTCGAATAGCCAATTTTTCGATAGTTCGATATTAGCATTTTTCAATTTTTCGATTCTTTAGTTTCCCAATTTTCCGATCCAAAAAATCCAAAAAATTCCAAAAATCCAAAAAATCCAAAAAATCCAAAAATCCAAACAATCCAAAAAATCCAAACAATCCAAAAAATCCAAACAATTCATAAAAAGAAAATCCAAAAATTCGAAAAAATACCTTAAAATCTAAAAAATACAAAAAAATCAAAAAACTGAAAAATAAAAAAAAATCCATCCAATCAAAAAGTTAAAAATTTAAAAAAAAATTGAAAATTTTCTAAAAATCTAAAAAATTCAGAGAATGCAAGAAACTCATGAAGTCTAATAAACCTAAATAGAAAAGCCAAAAAATCTATAAATTTTAAAAATCCAAAAAATTCAAGAAATTTAGGAAACTTAAAAAATCTAATGAAATCAAATAGAAAATCCAAAAAATCCAAAGATTTCAAAACATTCAAAAAATGCAAGAATCTCAAAAAATCTAATAAACCAAAATGAATATCCAAAAAAAAAAATCCAAGGATTTCAAAAAATTCAAACAATTCAATCAATCAAAAAAATTAAAAATGCCAAAAATTTTAAAAACCTAAAAAATTCAGAGATTGCAAGAAACTCAAAAAGTCTAATAAACCTAAATAGAAAAACCAAAAAATCTATAAATTTTAAAAATCCAAAAATTTTAAAATCCAAAAAATTCAAGAAATGAAAGAAACTCAAAAAATCTAATGAAATCAAATAGAAAATCAAAAAAATCCAAAAAATTTAAGCAATCCAAAAAATCCAAACAATCCAAAAAATGTAGAAAATCCAAAAATTCGAAAAAGTATCTTAAAATCTAAAAAAATACAAAAAATTAAAAAAAATCCAAAAAAAATGGAAAAATTTAAACAATCAAAAAATCCAAGATTTTAAAAAACCAAAAAATTCGAAGAATGCAATAAACTGAACAAATCTAATAAAACCAAATAGAAAATCCAAAAAATCAAAAAAATTTCAAAAAATCCAAAAATTTTATACATCCAAAAATTCAAGCAATACAAGAAACTCGAAAAATCTAAAAAAAAACGAAATATAAAATCGAAAAACTCAAAAAAAATCCAAAAATTCCAAAGGTTTCAGAAGATCCAAACAATTCGAAAAAACATCTTGTAATCATTCAAAAAAATTAAAAATGCCAAAAATTTTAAACACCTAAAAAATTCAGAGATTGTAAGAAACTCAAAAAGTCTAATAAACCTAAATAGAAAAACCAATAAAAAAAAAATCGAAGCAATCCAAAAAATCAAAAAATGCCAAAAATTTAAAAAACCCAAAAAATTCAAGGAATGCAAGAAACTCAACAAATCTAACAAAACCAAATAGGAAATTAAAAAAAATCAAAAAAATCCAAAAAATTCTGAAAATCTAAAAAATTCAAGATGTGCAAGAAACTCAAAAAATCTAATAAAACTAAATTGAAAATCCAAAAGAAACAAAAGTTCCAGAGGTTTCAAAAAACTCAAAAAATCTCGAACAAGAAATTCAAAAAAATTTAAATAACAAAAAAATTCAGAGAATGCAAGAAACTCATTGAGTCTAATAAACCTAAATAGAAAAACCAAAAAATCTTAAAGTTTTAAAAATCCAAAAAATTCAAGAAATGTAAGAAACTTAAAAAATCTAATGAAATCAAATAGAATATCCAAAAAATCCAAAGATTTCAAAAATTCAAAAAATGCAAGAATCTCAAAAAATCTAATAAACCAAACTGAAAATCAAAAAAAAAAACAAAAATTCCAAGGATTTCAAAAAATTCAAACAATTCAAACAATTCAAAAAATTAAAAATGCCAAAAATTTTAAAAACCCAAAAAATTCAGAGATTGCAAGAAACTCAAAAAGTCTAATAAACCTAAATAGAAAAACCAAAAAATCTATAAATTTTAAAAATCCAAAAAATTTAAACAATCCAAAAAATCCAAACAATCCAAAAAATGTAGAAAATCCAAAAATTCGAAAAAGTATCTTAAAATCTATAAAAATACAAAAAATTAAAAAAATCCAAAAAATGGAAAAATTTAAACAATCAAAAAATCCAAGATTTAAAAAACCCAAAAAATTCAAGGAATGCAAGAAACTGAACAAATCTAATAAAACCAAGTAGAAAATCCAAAAAACTCAAAAAAATTTCAAAAAATCCAAAAATTTTATGCATCCAAAAATTCAAGCAATACAAAAAACTCGAAAAATCTAAAAAAAACTAAATATAAAATCGAAAAAGTCAAAAAAAATCCAGAAATTCCAAAGATTTCAAAAGATCCAAACAATACAAATGATACAAACAATTCGAAAAAATATCTTGCAATTTGAAAAATTAAAAAAAAAATCGAAACTATCCAAAAAATCAAAAAATGCCAAAAATTTTAAAAACCCAAAAAATTCAAGGAATGCAAGAAACACAAAAAGTCTGTGCCAAATAAGAAATACGTAAATAATCAAAAATTTAAATTTTGGAAAAGTTGTGCGTTTATCGATATTCTTCAAATCTACTGTAATTTTGACTGCAAAAAATTAAAATTATTATTGATATACAAATGAGGTTATGCAATTTGCAATTTAATCAAAGACATTACAAATATATCTATCTACTTTTGTACTTGTTGTTTATGAATCTGCCTTGATATGTAGTCGTTTTACGTCCCCAATCACGTCCAAGAAGTCTCACTTTTTTGTATTGAAATGTCAATATTACTTCTTTGGACTAATTTGTCATACACATATGATACACCTATAATTATTATTTGTTCGTGTTAACAAAACATCTACCCATAAATATAATATAATATTAACAACAATTAATAAGTTTGAGCACCAATATCAAGGGGTAGTTTGTAAAACAAATGATCACATTCGACCCAGTCTCAGCCACTGAAACCATCAACTTATTCAAATAGAGCTAGCACATGGCTAACACTAATAAATGTGTTATATCTTCATTGGTATCTACTACCATATGTTCTAAAAATAATCCGCTTGAAAAGATCGATTCCCTCGGTTTACAGAGGCAGTTATTTTTATACTGTAAATTTAGAATTATTATAATAATGATGAAACAAATTACTGTGTCTGATTTTAAACAAAAAAATGCGAAATCGAGTACCCGAAAATTGTCAAATGCTGCTGACCCCGGTATTCAGTCACCTGCTGAAAATTTAAAATACGAGAAATTTCAGGAATCTAACTGTTGACAGAGTGCCGAAATATTTATTTAAAATAATTTCAAGCAAACTTTAGCCAAAATTAGAGCATTAGATACATTATTAAGTGTCAAATTTCAACCCTGTCTTAATCACAAATTCACCCTTACATATATTACATATTAAATTAAAACGTCAATTCTATGTATCTAACATTGAAAATAAACCGAAGCCGCGTTCTCGTGTCGCAATTACCACATGTAAATTTATTTTCCCGTGAAACGAGGAAGGCGTGTTGCAAAATTTATTGCAACTTGGCTCTAGATGGATAATAGATTGTTAAATGTTTTACATTATTGGAATCTTCACGATTAATCATGTGTCGTAACGAAGATCGTCCCAAGCTTTTCGCTTATTAACCTTTTAAGGATTTTCGTGACGCTAATTAAATGCATTTATTTATGAGGTTACCTTTGTTGTTCTTGCTAATTGCGTCCCATATTGTGCGGCGGTTTTGTGTAAAACGATATGAAAAATCTATGTCACGTCACATCTGTGGGACGGTGGGAACATATGTTGAATAATGCACTCGAATGCACGTCATGCTAAGACGATGTACGGTGAAAACGGCGCTTTCAGGCAAATTTTCAACAATTATGGGATATTATCAGCAAATTCCGACAGCAACAAGGTATAAAATCGGTGTATGACATCTTAACAAGTCCGGGATTGTTGTAAAGGTAGGGTTACACAGTTGTCGGTTGGTCAAGTCGGGCGAATATCAAATGAACGTAGACTGTTTTGTTTTTATAATTTTTAAATCTTTATTTTAGTATAAATAAATATTATGTAAGTAGTTATAGAAAGAATAAAAATTGACGTTTAACGTCTTGAAGGCATTTCATCTTTAGAGTAATCCGCATACTGGTTAATTCCCATTTTGTAGTTGACCAACCCGTTTTCGTACTTTTCGTTATGGTCCTCAACCATTTTCAGACTTGTGATGAAGAGTCCTTTTCTGTAGTTTTCTTCTTCTTCGTCCGCATAATTTTTTCGGAATTTCTCCTTCAATTAAAGACAAGGTTTTTACAGTATGTAATTGTGGAATTAAATTTAAGTCTAACTTCTGAGCTATGACGTCAACAGCCTTTTAACTATAAATAAAACAATATCGGCAATTGCTATGAAGAATGCTCTTTGATTTGTTTTCGCAGTAAAAATAAACCATTGATACCAAAAGATGTGTGGGGTTTAATCTGCTTTTGAAAGCAAAGTAAAGATCGCAGCAAAATTGCTAGGACAATAATCAACTTTAAGACGAAATTAGATAGGAAACATAATTTATTTCGGAGTGTTTTTCTTCCGAAATGTGATTATTTCATATTTGTTTTTGTTCGTCTGCGAGTTTCTTCAATTTGATAAATAAAACTATTTCCTATTATTTATTATCGTTGAACTGAGAAAACAATTGTAACACGCAATGTATTCTTCTTTCAAAAATGCATATGACGTCATACCTCAGAAATTAATGACGTCATTGCACAATTATAACCTTAAAATAAAAATACCTTGAACTCATTCCACTTTTCTTCTATGTATTCCTCAGTTAAGGCCACCGGTTGGTCCATTAGGAGATTAGGTGTGTACGGTCCTGTAATAATGGTGAAATTACAAAATGATACTTTGGGCGCTTTTCTAAAAGTATCGATTTGCTATTTTAATCTGAAAATCAGAAATCGAACGTTTTTAAAATTCTCGAAAAAATGAATAAAAACCGAAAATAGCTTCAAAGGGTCTAAAAATACAATTTTCTTGTTTTTAAACACGTGCCTGCCTTTTTAGAAGTCTAAACTTAGGTAACCTCTGGCATTTTTGATCACGTAAACAAAATTTAAGTGATATCAGATAATACAAATATTTTTAAAAATGCTAAATTTCGGAAAGATCTAACGAATTTCTGAATTACGAAAACATGTTATATTAATTAAGGGGTTAGGTTCTAGCAAAATTTGTATCAAAATTAAGAATATAGTAATTCTATTTCCATTTTGGTTATAATTCGTTCTAAAGAGGCTAAATAATTACAAAATCGTGAACGGAAATTAGAAAAAAATTGTAACATATTATAACAGAAGCTGCTCCAAGTTCCAAAGTCATAATAATCAAATTTATACAAAATAGAGACTTGTTTAAGATGTGTCGTTATGTTAGAATAGTTTAAACAACTTTTCTAATTATAACTTAACTGACACTTTTATGTTCGTGTTTCACTTGAAATTCTCAATAATCAATTTTTACAATTTTTTTTTAATTTGAAACAACAGAACTTGAAAAACAGCTCAATTATAAAAATCGACGTCGTGCCTTTTCACTTTTTGCACGGAATTCCAACACAATAACGTTTTAATAAATTTCTGAAGCAAGATATGTTGTTTTGTGTTCTGCAACCAACAATACACTATAATACAGAGCTTTGTACACAACAATAGTTAGTCACATTGGTAACACATGACGCTGCAAATGTTTCCTGTACATAGCACAAGAACAAGAACAAGAACAAGAACAAGAAAACAAATTATAGATTCCTATTTTACTTAATGATTTATTTATTTTTGGATTTTGATAAATATTTCTTACGTTAAATGCAGCAAAAATTTATTTCCAGCCGTTGGCTCAACTTTTCGAAAAAAGTGCATTTAACATTTTTATTTGAATAAACAAAACATTCATCTAGAAATAATGATACAAAAATAGCAGCGTGAGGGTGTAAATTACATCCGCTTGGCACTTATACACGGATATAACAATTTTATTGTTGTGGTAGGTACTGCGACAAATCATAATGGAAACGCTTATCAAAAATGTAAAATTCTTTGACAACTATTTCCAAAATTTACAAGCATTATTTTTAAGCAAAAATACAAAAAATGAGCAAAAAGCAAAATTTTCAAAAATCACTCTAGTTATTAAATGCAACATTGCAGCCACAGTGTTTACTAAATTTACCTCTTCACAAAATTCTCGTTGAAAAAATCCTCCTTGCACCACGTTATACTTACAATTGCATTACTACGATTAAATTCTCTTTTCAGACACGGATATGCCGCCCCACTTCTTCTGAAAATTCCTACCGATGCGCAACTACCGCTAATTTTACAATTTGAAATATTCGGCCTTGCGTTATATAAACAAGCCTCTTTTTATTTAATATTTGATAGCTTATATCTGACAAGCACAGAAATTATAGGGTGGAAACCTGTCGTTTGAATGATATTTTAACTCCAACACTTCGGCGTGCGATACACCGTGACGCAACTAAGCTAAAATTAAAAAATTTCAACTTGCCATCACAATCCTATAAAATACGAGCATGTTTTCTGTCATTTTTCATTATTAATAGGCGGAAGCTTTAATGACCGTTAGAGGCAGAAGTAAATAGTTTTTGGCCGTCCAACGGCATTTCGCACGAAAATAAAGTGTTATTCTGGATTTCTGCCTGATGGACAGCGTAAATTATAGTGAGATTGTGTACAAAAGAACACATAAAATACTCAAAGATAATTGCATACAGCAGGATAGGAGTTTTCTTTGATTAAAAATTTGTTCGTCTGCGCGGACAGATTTATTGAACTGGACGTTGCGAAAGTATTATTTGGGTTATTCCACGCAAATTGGACCAATGCGTCGTTGGGCAGACTGACACACAGACAGACAGACGGAAACGGGGACCTATTTTTTAAGTATACTTCCGACAGGTCACCCACTAAAATTTTTAATTTTTGTTTATTGACTCGATGTATTGGACCGTAAAATCACAGTCGTTAAATTTTGAATTGATCAGAATTAGTACACATAAAAGTGATACTGAAAAAGCGATTTTCAATGTCAAGTTCAAATTCTAGTTTTTTGAAGTAGCTTGAAGTAAGAAACAATGTTTTTATTACTAGAAAAAAAATTAAGCAACATTTTAGTCATGTTGTATTATTGAAACCACCGAATTAACCCTATTTTAGGACAGTTCGTCCTAGTTGAACTGTGATAGTCCACCTTTTTAAAAATTTTAAATCGTAAAAGTCGAAACTATTGGAAAACTGAAAATCGAAAACACGCAAAAATGAAAAATCTAAAAAATGAACATAGAAAAACGAAAATGGAACAAAAATTCAAGAATTTTAAAAACGACAAATTATAAAATCGAAAAACTGAAGAAACGGAACAGAAAAATTGAAAAATAATTAAAAATTGGGAAACTGAAGGACCGAATGCAGTGAAAAAATACAAATCGCAAAATTGCACAAACGGAGAATTGAGAAATCCAAACCTAAAATAATTAATTGAATAAACGAAAAATTACAAAAGCAAAATAAAAAATTTGAAAAATTGAATAACTGAAAAATTGTAAAAACGAGAAATTGAAAAATGGGAAAAAGAAAAAATCGTAAAATCGAAAAATTTGCGCGATGAAACAGTTGAAGAAATGAGAATTCTAAAATCGAAAAATTGCAGATTGTAAAGTGGGAGAAACGGAAAACTGAATAAACAAAAAACTGGAAAATTGTAAAATTAAAAATAAGGGAACTGAAAAATGGAAAAACTGTAGATCAAAGAATTGTAAAATCAAAAAATATCAAATCGAGAAATTGAAACGACAATGGAAAAATCGAAAAATTAAAAAATTGGGAAGATGAAAAATCGAAAACATGAAAAACTATAAAATAAAAAAAAAGAAATAAAAAAACTGTAGAACTGGAAAATTGAAAAATTTAGAAATTTAAAACCAGCAAATTCAAATATTGAGAAACAGAAAAAAAAGAAATTGAAAAACTGAAAAATTGAAAGATAATACGTTGAAAAATCGAAAAACTAAAGATTTGAAAAATTGCAAATCGTCAAACTGACGGAAGCAAATTAATATTGAAAAATCAAAAATTGAGATACCGAAAAATCGAAAAAGTGAGAAATAGGAAAGTCTGAAGAATGAAAGATCGAAAAATTGAAAAACAATTATTTTTAAAATCGAAAAATTGAAAAATTGAGAAATCGAAAATTGAAGAACTGAAACCTCAAAAGATTAAAATTGAAAAATCAGAATTCAAAAAGGCGAAAATTTGGAAAATTGCAAATCGAGAAATTGAGAGCCAAAAACTGAAAATTGAGAAACGAAATATTGGAAAATTAAAAATTGAGAAACTGAAAAATGGAGTGGAGTGAAAAATTACAAATCGAAAAATTGAAGAACCGAAGAAATGAAAATGAAGAAATTGAAAAATGAAAAAGTAGTGGGAAAAAAATTAGAATATCGTATAATTGCAAAATAAAGAAACGAAAAATTGAACAATCTAAAAATTTTAAATCGGAAAATTCGAAATTATTGGAAAACACGCAAAAATTAAAAATCGAAAAAATGAACATAGAAAAACGGAAATGGAACAAAAATTTAAGAATTTTAAAAACGACAAATAATAAAATCGAAAAACTGAAGAAACGAAACAGAAAAATTGAAAAATTAAAAACTGGGATACTGAAGGGCCGAATGGAGTGAAAAATAACAAATCGAAAAATTGAAGAAACGAAGAATTGAGAAATCCAAACCTAAAATAATTGACTGAACAAACGAAAAATTACAAAAACAAAATCAAATATTTGAAAAATTGAATAAGTGAAAAATTGTAAAAATGAGAAATTGAAAAATGGGAAAAAGAAAAAATCGTAAAATTCTAAAATCGAAAAATTGCAGATTGTAAAGTGGGAGAAATGGAAAATTGAATAAACAAAAAGCTGGAAAATCGTAAAATTAAAAATAAGGGAACTGAAAAATAGAAAAACTGTAGATCAAAGAATTGTAAAATCAAGAAATATCAAATCGAGAAATTGAAAGGACCATGGAAAAACAGAAAAATAAAAAAATTGGAAAAATGAAAAATCGAAAACATGAAAAACCATAAAATCCAAAAAAAAAGAAATCAAAACACTGTAGACATAGAAAATTGAAAAATCTAGAAATTTAAAACCAGGAACACAAAATTAAACAAAAATTGAAAAATAAAAAAAATAAGAAATTGGAAAACTGAAAAATTGAAAGATAATTGAGTTGAAAAATCAAAAAACTAAAAATTAGAAAAATTGCAAATTGTCAAACTGAAGGAAGCAAATATTGAAAAATCAAAAATTGAGATACTGAAAAATCGAAAAAGTGACAAATAGGAAAGTCTGAAAAATGAAAGATCGAAAAATTGAAAAACAATTATTTTCAAAATCAAGAAATTGAAAAATTGAGAAATCGAAAATTGAAGAACTGAAACCTCAAAAATTAAAATTGAAAAATCAGAATGCAAAAAGCCGAAAATTTGGAAAATTGTAAATCGAGAAATTGAGAACCAAAAACTGAAAATTGAGAAACGAAATATTGGAAAATTAAAAATTGAGAAACTGAAAAATCGAGTGGAGTGAAAAATTGCAAATCGAAAAGTTGAAGAAACGAAGAAATGAAAAATCGAAAAATTGAACAAACGAAAAATTCAAAATGAGGAAATTGAAAAATGAAAAAGTAGTGGAAAAAAAGTAGAAAATCGTATAATTGGAAAACGGATAAACTAAAGAAACGAAGAATTGAAAAATCGAAAAATAAAAATTTGAAAAATCTAAAAATTTTAGATCGGAAAACTCGAAATTAATGGAAAACTGAAAATCGAAAATTGAGAACACGCAAAAATGAAAAATATAAAAAATGAGCATAGAAAAACGGAAATGGATCAAAAACTTAAAAATTTGATAAACGACAAATTATAAAATCGAAGAATTGAACAAACGAAACAGAAAAATTGAAAAATTAAAAATTTGGAAACTGAATGGAGTGAAGAATTACAAACCGAAAAAATGAAGAAACGAAGAATTGAGAAATCCAACCTAAAATAATTAACTGAATAAACGAAAAATTATAAAAACAAAATAAAAAATTTGAAAAATTGAATAAGTGAAAATTTGTAAAAACGAAAAATTAAAAACTGAGAAACTGAGAAGTCGAAAAATAGAAAAGTTAAAAAATCAAAAATTGTAAAACTAGAAACCCGAAAAGTTGCAAATCGAAAAACCGAAAAATTAAAAATTGGGAAAATGAAAAATCGAAAACATGAAAAACTATAAAATCCAAAAAAGAGAAATCAAAAAACCGTAGAAATGGAAAATTGAAAAATCTAGAAATTTAAAACCAGGAAACACAAAATTAAACAATAGGAACGCCTGAAAAATGAAAGATCGAAAAATTGGGGAGAGAAAAAATTGAACAATCGAAAAATCAATAAATTGAGAAAACCAAAAATTGTAAAATCAAAAAGTCGAAAAATTGATAAACGGAAAAATTGAAAAACAATTATTTTTAAAATAGAGAAATTGAAAAATTGAGAATTCGAAAATTGACGAACTGAAAACTCAAAAATTATAATTGAAAAATCAGAATTCAAAAAACCGAAAATTTGGAAAATTGCAAATCGAGAAATTGAGAACCAAAAACTGAAAATTGAGAAACGAAAAATTGCAAAATTAAAAATTGAGAAATTGAAAAATCGAGTGGAGTGAAAAATTGCAAATCGAAAAGTTGAAGAAACGAAGAAATGAAAAATCGAAAAATTGAACAAATTAAAAACGAGGAAATTGAAAAATGAGAAAGTAGTGGAAAAAAAATAGAAATCGTATAATTGGAAAACGGGTAAACTAAAGAAACGAAAAATTGAAAAATCGAAAAATAAAAATTTGAAAAATCTAAATATTTTAAAGCGGAAAACTCGGAATTATTGGAAAACTGAAAATTGAAAATTGAGAACACGCAAAAATGAAAAATATAAAAAATGAACATAGAAAAACGGAAAAGGATCAAAAACTTAAAAATATTATAAACGACAAATTATAAAATAGAAAAACTGAACAAACGAAACAGAAAAATTGAAAAATTAAAAATTTGGAAACTGAATGGAGTGAAGAATTACAAACCGAAAAATTGAAGAAACGAAGAATTGAGAAATCCAACCTAAAATAATTAACTGAATAAACGAAAAATTATAAAAACAAAATAAAAAATTTGAAAAATTGAATAAGTGAAAATTTGTAAAAACGAAAAATTAAAAACTGAGAAACTGAGAAATCGAAAAATAGAAAAGTTAAAAAATCAAAAATTGTAAAACTAGAAACCCGAAAAGTTGCAAATCAAAAAACCGAAAAATTAAAAATTGGGAAAATGAAAAATCGAAAACATGAAAAACTATAAAATCCAAAAAAGAGAAATCAAAAAACCGTAGAAATGGAAAATTGAAAAATCTAGAAATTTAAAACCAGGAAACACAAAATTAAACAATAGGAACGCCTGAAAAATGAAAGATCGAAAAATTGGGGAGAGAAAAACTGAACAATCGAAAAATCAATAAATTGAGAAAACCAAAAATTGTAAAATCAAAAAGTCGAAAAATTGATAAACCGAAAAACTGAAAAACAATTATTTTTAAAATCGAGAAATTGAAAAATTGAGAACTCGAAAATTGACGAACTGAAAACTCAAAAATTAAAGTTGAAAAATCAGAATTCAAAAAGCCGAAAATTTGGAAAATTGCAAATCGAGAAATTGAGAACCAGAAACTGAAAATTGAGAAACGAAAAATTGGAAAATTAAAAATTGAGAAACTGAAAAATCGAATGGAGTGAAAAATTGCAAATCGAATAATTGAAGAAACGAAGACATGAAAAATTGAAAGATTGAAAAAACGAAAAATTAAAAATGAGGAAATTGAAAAATGAAAAATTAGTGGAAAAAAATTAAAAAATCGAAAATTGAGAACACGCAAAAATGGAAAATCTAAAAAATGGACAATTAAAAACGACAAATTATAAAATCGAAAAACTGAAGAAACGAAACAGAAAAATTGAAAAATTAAAAATTGGGAAACTGAAGTACCGAATGGAGAGAAAAATTACAAATCGAAAAATTGAAGAAACGAAGAATTGAGAAATCCAAACCTAAAATAATTGACTGAATAAACGAAAAATTACAAAAACAAAATCAAAAATTTGAAAAATTGAATAAATGAAAAATTGTAAAAACGAGAAATTGAAAAATGGGAAAAATGGTAAAATCGAAAAATTGCAGATGAAACAGTTGAAGAAATGAGAATTCTAAAATCGAAAAATTGCAGATTGTAAAGTGGGAGAAACGGAAAATTGAATAAACAAAAAACTGGAAAATCGTAAAATTAAAAATAAGGGAACTGAAAAATGGAAAAAATAAATGAAAGAATTGTAAAATCAAAAAATATCAAATCGATAAATTGAAACGACAATGGAAAAACCGAAAAATTAAAAAATCAAAAAATTGAAAAATTGAAAAATCTAAAAATTTAAAATCGATAATTCAGAATTACTACTACAGCACATATTGTAACGACCAGAGGTATTAACAGTAAATAGTTGGTTTTATTTAACCGAACAGCCATGGTGATGAGGGAAGATAGAAACAAAAAAAAGCCACCTGCAATTTCATTTTTTTTAAATATGGTTTAGATGATGTATAGAATGTATAGAGTACGTACCTGAAACGATAATAGACAAATTGGGTTCAATAATGTTACTTATACCTCCTAGAAATCACCTATTAAAATTTTTAATCTTATTTTTTCACTTGGTGTATCGAAGCGTAAAATCATGATCATTAAATTTCGAGATACCCAGAATTAATACACATAAAAGTAGTACTGAAAAAACTTTAGGTTTTAAGGGACTTGCCATATTCATAGTTTCTTGAAAAAGATTTGTTCCGTTATTATAACGTCAGAAATATAAATCAAATAATTTTTCTGAAGGTTTGTCCCTGCTGAAAGTCAGACTGGTGAAAACTACCTATTATCCGTTGACAGTTTAGATATTTAAATGTTTTAGTTACTAATGAAACATTTGTGTTCCCAAAAACTGGTGATTTTATTCAAACACATGTAGTGCAACGGAAAATACAATTTTAACTTTATTTTTCGACAGTTACAATTTGATGAATCTCGTTTTGTAACGATGCATACGTCTCAACTCGTTATTGGTTCGATCAAAGTAGGGACCCAGAATCCACGAAAGTTTCTCTTGCTTGAATTGTTTATGTGTATCAAGCCATTTCAAATTTTCTCTGAAAATGTTTTTCCTTCTCTGTTCCTCCTCCTCATTAGGATAGTTCTTGTTGTACTGTTTCTGTAAATGCACATGCAATAAAACGAAAGTAAACATGGACAAAAGCAACTACTTTGAATGTGATCCAGTGTCGGTCAATTTCCGCTTCGTCAAGAGGTGAAGCTGCAGCAAACATCGTAACGACCAAGAGTATTAACAGCAACATTTGGTTGAGGGAAAAGTAATGAATCAATTAAACTGTTTAAAACAAATCGGTGACAATAAATGGAAGATATAGAAAGTAAGTATGTCATACGTACCTGAGACGATAATAGGTAAAATGGATTCAACAACGTGTACTTATACCTCCTAGTCTCCTACTAAAATTTTTGATTTTATTTTACCATTCGATTTACTGGAGCATAAAATTAAGATCGTTAAATTTCGAAGCAACCAAAATTAATACCAGTGACACCTCGTCAGGGACGGCCAGGCCGTACCAAATAATTTGAGAAATAAGAAAACAATTTTTTTAGCCGTCACTGATTAATACACATAAATATATTATTGAAAAGAGTTTGTGTTTTCAAGGTGAAGTAAACATATGAATTGGTGAGTTGTGAAACTCCGACTGGAGTTGCATTGATACGCCACTGGAATCTATCTTGGAAAATTTACAAGTTTCAAGTTTAATTATTTCATTGTGACGCAATAATTTTATTTCTTTGAAAACGAATAAATATTCATTTGGTGACCACCTCCATTACACGTAAGTAGGTTATCAAATATTTTTAGTATGTTTGGAAAATTATCGATAGTGGAACAAACATAATTAAACATTTTAACTGCTAATTAGGATTTTACTTTGATGTGCTCCAAAATGGGTGCAGCATGTGTTCACTCACATAAACAATTGTTTAAAATTTTATCGCGTATTTAGCCAGCACCAAACTATACAAACACATTTGGTTTCCTAAAAACTAGGGTTTGATATTGTGTATCTTTCACATTCCAGTTGTGTATAGTTGGTTGCATACGCGTCACAACAACAGCTGCTGGAAATATTATCACATCGACAATTATTCATTCTGGTGATTGCATGGCCTTCAGGGTCCGATGGTGATTAAATTTCCCAGTAATGTCTACATAAGCAACATTTTATTCAATGGCAAATACATTTATACGTAATTGAAAACGCCCATTATTTGCAGATAACCTCACTTTTCGCTTTTGTCAGTTGAGGGTCTGAGGACTCCGTGACTGTAGGGTCTTTTCTCTTCAGGGGTCAAATCAGCGAAATGATTGAGACCCACAGTGAAGGTAACTTCCCCACGCTCGTATTTTTTGTTATGCTCTTCAATGAATTTCAACGTTTCCGTGAAAAGTTTCTTCCTCATCTGTTCCTCCTTCTCATCGGGATAGTTCTTCCCGAATTCAGTCTGTGTACACGTTAAAAATAGAACGAGAATAAACATGGACAAATGTACTTACTTTGTAGGTGGCCCATTTTTCCGTAATTTCGGTTTCGGTTAAGGCTGAAGTTGCGGCACTCATTGCGACGACGATAACAAGTATTAATAATTTCATGATTCACTCTAGCAGTGGAACTACTGACTAGTGCGCTCTACAAGTGTACACAGAAATTGGTGATTACTGATTAGAAATGGGAGATAAAGGAGTATTTATACAGTTGTTATGGGTCAACTGAAAAGCCATAGTAATGAGGGAAAATACAGAAATGAGTCTTTTTTTTGTTAACATTGTTGTTATCAACAAATAAACCTAAACTATCCATTGTAGATTAGTAAATCTTTTGTGTGTTTATATTTAATGTATGAATGTGGTCAAACTTACTGCTTGGATTCTCCGTCTTGCCGGGTTGACTGAAGATGAAGAAGTGAAAGAAGAGTTATAAGGTAACCCACAGCCAAGGACATCTGCTGTGCATTTATGTAGTTTTCAATAAATGGGTCGTTAAATGAAAATTTGCCAAACACTGCGGTGATTTCACCATAGTGCATATTTGTGATAGGTAAACATATTTCAAAGGCATTCCTACGCTACTTTTATTATAGAGTAACGATAAACAAAATATATTTGAAATAGGTACTTGTTTTAAAATATGAAATCTGTAAATATTAGAAGGACAGGCTTTTTTTGTTATGTCAATATTTAAGTACCTGGTTTGATGTATCACTTTTTTGTGACAGTGTGATTATGTAATTTAATTACCTAGTTATGACTAGAACAATAATACATTTATAAACTTGGAAAAGACCCATAACACTTCACGTGTTACCTAACTGACAACTCTGGACAGTTACGATTTGGTACTACCGTTGTGAATATTGGTGCGAATAACAAATCTTGTGTTAATAAAAACCATTTTATTTAAATGCAGATACAGCTAGGGTAATTAAAAGCGTCCATTATTACATGACACGCTTACTTTTTGTCAGTTGAGGGTAGACGAAATCCACGACTGCGGGCTCTCTCTTCAGGAGTTTGATCAGAGAAATGATTGATACCTACACCAAAAGTCACTTCCCCCCGCTCGTACTTTTTGTTGTGCTCTTCAACTGACAGCAAAGTTTTCGTGAAAAGTTTCTTCCTCATTTGTTCTTCATTCTCGTCGGGATAGTTCTTCCCGAATTCCGTCTACAAACGTGCACGGTAAAAATAAATCGAAAATAAACATGGCTACAAGTACTTACTTTGAAGTTCTCCCATTTTTCCGTAATTTCGGTTTCGGTAAAGGGTGCAGCACTCATTGCGACAACGAATAGGAGTAAAGACGAACGCACGGTACATAAACAAAGCAGAGCGTATAAATGGAGGTAAGCGAGTTGTTAGTTCTGCGAACCGGAATGTCATGGTGATTCATGTTAGAAGGTACATAGTGTGAGTCGTCTGTTTGTTAACTTTATCGGCAAATAAACCGGGGCTAGAACAGTGTAGTACTGTTCCGTATTATTTTACAATTATTATTTGAACGTACTCGAACTTACAAATGAATTGAAGAAATGAAGGAAGAGCTTTAATTAGTGTTACGTGTTAATACAACTTTTTTTCTGGACTAAGTTCAGCAAAAAAAAATTCCAAAAAAATCGATAAAAGAGAGGAAAGTCTACATAATCCAAAAAATCCATAAAATCAACAGATTCTAAAAAAAATCAAAAATTTAAGCAAATCTATCTTTTCCAAAAATTGCAAACATCCAAAAGTTCCAAAAAACCCAATGCAATCCAGAATGAACAAAAAAAAATTGAAAAATTCTGAAAATTACAAAAATTTCAAATAATCCAAAAAATCCACAAAAAATAAGAAATCCAAAAAATTTGACAGAAAAAATAAAAAATTAAAGCAAAAACAAATTCCCAGAATTCCAATACAACTCAAAATAATCTAAAAAATCCGAATGTTCCAAAAATTCCAAATAAATTCAAAACTATTAAAAAAGTTACAAAAATATCCAAAAAATTCCAAAAATTAAAAAAATATCCAAAAAATCAAGAATACCCATGAAATCCAAGGAATCCAAAAAAAAAAAACAAAAAAAATGCAAAAAATACAATTCCAATACAATCCAAAAAGAATCTAAAAAATCGAAAAAAAAAACCATAACTTCCAAAAAAATAAAAAAAATCGAAAAATCCGAAGTAAATCCAAAAAAAATCGATAAAATTCCAAACTAATCCAAAAAAATCGATAAAAGCCAGGAAAGACCAAACAATCCAAAACATCCACAGATTCTAAAACAAATCAAAAATCCAAGAAAATCCATAAATGCCAAAAATTGCAAACAACCCAATGCAAATTTCCAAAAATTCCAAATAATGCAAAAAATAACAAAAACTAAAGAATAAAATAAAATGCAAAAAAATTCAAAAAATCTGACAAAAAATAAAAAAAAAAAAAATCAAAACTCCATAAATACCAGAAATTCCAAGAATTCTATACTAGATACTATCCAAAATAATCTAAAAGATCCAAATGTTCAAAAAATTCCAAATAAATCCAAAAAATCAATAATACCCAGGAAATCCAAAGAATCCAAAAAAAAGCAAAAAATGCAAAAAAAATACAACAATTCTAATACAATTCAAAAAGAATCTAACAAACCGAAAAAAAGCCAAAACTTACAAATAAATCCAAAAACAAAACATAAAAATCCATAATTTCCAAAAAAATTGAAAAAATCCAAAAAAATTAAAAAAATCCACGAAAACTACAGAATCCAAAAAAATTCAAATAAACGTGCAAAATCCAGAAAAATCCAATCCATAAATTTCAAAATTTGCAAAATATTCCAATAATACAACCCAAAAAATCTATAAATCCCAAAAAATTAAAAAATTCGAAAAATCCGAAGTAAATCCAAAAAATCCAAAAGTATCCAAAAAAATCAATACAATCCCAAAAATTCCAAAAAAATCGATAAAAGAGAGGAAAGTCTACATAATCCAAAAAATCCATAAAATCAACAGATTCTAAAAAAAAATCAAAAATTCAAGCAAATATATCAATTCCAAAAATTGCAAAAATCCAAAAGTTCCAAAAAACCCAATGCAATCTAGAATGAACAAAAAAAAATTGAAAAATTCTAAAAATTACAAAAATTTCAAATAAACCAAAAAATCCACAAAAAATAAGAAATCCAAAAAATTTGACAGAAAAAATAAAAAATTAAAGCAAAAACAAATTCCCAGAATTCCAATACAATTCAGAATAATCTAAAAAATCCGAATGTTCCAAAAATTCCAAATAAATTCAAAACTATTAAAAAAGTTCCAAAAATATCCAAAAAATTCCAAAAATTAAAAAAATATCCAAAAAATCAATAATACCCATGAAATCCAAGGAATCAAAAAAAAAACAAAAAATGCAAAAAATACAATTCCAATACAATCCAAAAAGAATCTAAAAAATCGAAAAAAACCCATAAATTCCAAAAAAATAAAAAAAATCGAAAAATCCGAAGTAAATCCAAAAAAAAATCGATAAAATTCCAAAATAATCCAAAAAATCGATAAAAGCCAGGAAAGACCAAACAATCCAAACAATCCACAGATTCTAAAAAAAATCAAAAATCCAAGAAAATCTATCATAAATGCCAAAAATTGCAAACAACCCAATGCAAATTTGCAAAATTTCCAAATTATCCAAAAAATAACAAAAACTAAAGAATAAAAAAAAATGCAAAAAAATTCAAAAAATCTGACAAAAAATAAAAAAAAAATCAAAACTCCATAAATACCAGAAATTCCAAGAATTCCGATAGTATCCAAAATAATCCAAAAGATCCAAATGTTCCAAAAATTCCAAATAAATCCAAAAAATCAATAATACCCAGGAAATCCAAAGAATACAAAAAACCGCAAAAAATGCAAAAAAAAAATACAACAATTCTAATACAATCCAAAAAGAATCTAACAAACCGAAAAAAAGCCAAAACTTACAAATAAATCCAAAAAAAAAACATAAAAATCCATAATTTCCAAAAAAATTGAAAAATTCCAGAAAAATTAAAAAAATCCACGAAAACCACAGAATCCAAAAAAATTCAAATAAACGTGCAAAATCCAGAAAAATCTAATCCATAAATTCCAAAATTTGCAAAATCTTCCAATAATACAACCCAAAAAATCCATAAATCCCAAAAAATCAAAAAATTCGAAAAATCCGAAGTAAATCCAAAAAATCCAAAAGTATCCAAAAAAATCAATACAATCCCAAAAATTCCTAAAAAATCGATATAAGAGAGGAAAGTCTACATATTCCAAAAAATTCATAAAATCAACAGATTCTAAAAAAAATCAAAAATTCAAGCAAATCTATCAATTCCAAAAATTGCAAGAATCCAAAAGTTCCAAAAAAACCCAATGCAATCCAGAATGAACAAAAAAAAATTTGAAAAATTCTAAAAATTACAAAAATTTCAAATAACCCCAAAAATCCACAAAAAATAAGAAATCCAAAAAATTTGACAGAAAAAATAAAAAATTAAAGCAAAAACAAATTCCCAGAATTCCAATACAACTCAAAATAATCTAAAAAATCCGAATGTTTCAAAAATTCCAAATAAATTCAAAACTATTAAAAAAGTTCCAAAAATATCCAAAAAATTCCAAAAATTAAAAAAATATCCAAAAAATCAATAATATCCATGAAATCCAAGGAATCAAAAAAAAAAACAAAAAAAATGCAAAAAATACAATTCCAATACAATCCAAAAAGAATCTAAAAAATCGAAAAAACCCATAAATTCCAAAAAAATAAAAAAAATCGAAAAATCCGAAGTAAATCCAAAAAAAAATCGATAAAATTCCAAAATAATCCAAAAAAATCGATAAAAGCCAGGAAAGACCAAACAATCCAAAAAATCCACAGATTGTAAAAAACATCGAAAATCCAAGAAAATCCATAAATGCCAAAAATTGCAAAAAACCCAAAAGTACCAAACAACCCAATGCAAATTTCCAAAAATTCCATATAATCCAAAAAATAACAAAAACTAAAGAATTAAAAAAAATGCTAAAAAATTCAAAAAATCTGATAATCTAAAAGATCCAAATGTTCTAAAAATTCCAAATAAATCCAAAAAATCAATAATACCCAGGAAATCCAAAGAATCCAAAAAAAAAGCAAAAAATGCAAAAAAAATACAATTCTAATACAATCCAAAAAGAATCTAACAAACCGAAAAAAAGCCAACACTTACAAATAAATCCAAAAAAAAAACATAAAAATCCATAATTTTCAAAAAAATTGAAAAATTCCAATAAAATTAAAAAATCCACGAAAACCACAGAATCCAAAAAAATTCAAATAAACGTGCAAAATTCAGAAAAATCCAATCCATAAATTCCAAAATTTGCAAAATATTCCAATAATACAACCCAAAAAATCCATAAATCCCAAAAAATCAAAAAATTCGAAAAATCCGAAGTAAATCCAAAA